CCTGCTGCGGGAGCAGAAACAACAGAGTTTTAAAATAAGTACTAAGCATGTTTCTTCTCTGTAAGTATAAAATATATCATTATAGATTAATAGATACTAAAAATGTATAGTACATAAGTGTTTAAAATATTTTTGATTTATATTTTAGTTATCAAATTAAAATTTTTTTCTTGCAATGCTGCCAGCGTTTGTTAAATAAATACTAAACACCTAATATTGTCTATTACAATACTAAATTTTAAATACCAAAATACCTAAGTACAAAGTTAGGTAGTACTAGCATATCGATATTTTAATGAGACCTACTGTATGTGTGATTGATCAACGGTCAGTTACATATATATATTTGATGTAGCAGTTCGAGAAGAAATAGTTACTGAAAATTCCTCTGTATTTAAAAACGGATGTACATATTATGATCAAGCCAAGCTATCTTCTAAGACCGTGTTTGCAGAGTGTTATAATGATATATTTTACTACAATCATATTATACGACTTTGTTCAGAAAAAGTTCCAGCTGAGGCAATTGGCCATCGTGGCGGCTGTCAAACGCACGTCGGTGGGTCTACGACGTCGTCAACTACCTCATCGACCAAGACCACGGGAAGCGGTGATCTTACGGTGCCATCTGTTGGGCATATCGTCGGCGGCATACCCCCTGTGCAACCGCAACCGAAGCTGCGCAGGCCAGTAGGATCCGGAAGTGGCGGAAATTCTGTCTTACAGGTCGACGTTAAGGGAAAGGTATGTTATAAGAGTAATATTTTGTTTTTTTGTATATTTTCTATTAAAAGAAAAGTAATAAATTATAAAACACGATAAAATGTGACTAGCTCACAGTCTATATTAACTATTAAGGGTGAGATTTTTATTCGTTCGGCAAAAATCTAGTCGTCCCGTTTTTTTTCAAACAAAATTTGAATTTTTAACTTGTGTGAATTTTTAACTCCAATTTTTTGAATCCCACAAATAAAATGTTAGGTACAAGGAAAGTGGTATAAATATTTTGAAGTCTATTAAAAACAAATTGAAAATTATAATAAATCGTATGGTAAATAGTAATACTATTGTGTAACACTACGATTGTGTAACATGTTTTGCATAAACATTTAAATGAAGTATCTACAGTAGTTCGTTTTTGAATTACCTACAACAAGATGAATAAATCGATATTTTTAAAAGCTGTTTTGCGTAAAAATTCTTTTTTAATCTATTTTATTTAATTACTAAAAAAAGTACTGATGAAAATTTTAGATTCTGAACGGAGCGACGAATGTATTGATTTTACAATGTTGTGTGTTTTTATTTTTATTTTTATTTTTTTCTGTCATCACGGTTTCTTACTGTATAAGTGCTTCGATTTTCTTCAACAGCAATTTCTCTGGTAGGAAAGTAAATCTAGTTGGTGCATTCGGGACTTCAAAGTTTAAAATTCAAAATAATTTTCAAAAGCAATAGGAAAAACGGAAATTTGTACTCAAAAACATTTTTCGAAAAAAATGATTTTGGTTTTTAGTGTAACTCTAACAAAAATAACCATACATAAATGAAATTTTCACAGAATACTTGTGTCAGAATTTTCTGTACACCATACAATTTTCAAAATATTTTGATTTGTGTTGAACTATTTATATACATATGCAATTTTCGATTATTATTTGTTTTTTTTAAACTCAAGTTGATAAAAAATGTTTTGCTATGTTAAAAAACTTGAAAATATAATACAAGGTTCCTTGTAAGTTGTTGTTAATGGAAATTAAAAAAAAAGTTGAGCTTAAATCCACAGTAATTTTTTATGAACGTTTAAACTTCGAATTTTGACAAAATTCGTAAAAATTACGAAAATGAGCAAATTATATTTGGTTAGAAATTCATAAAAAATTTTCTATTTATTTCTAAGACTTAAAAATTTAATACAAGATTCCTCACAAGTTTGTAAGTCAAATTAAATTTTTTTGAGTTTATGAGTGTTTGAAGTTGATATTTTATATTCACTCGATTTCTCTTCTTATTTTGTTGTAATTTAAAAATGAAGTACCGGAGACACTTAAAATTTACACCAAATGTTTATTTCATCAATTCATATGCTCAATACAATTTTCAAAAATATGTTCAAAATATGACTCGTTTTACGCTGTTGACGGACATTTCTATTTTCCTTTTTTTTCTATAAATATCAATACAATTTTATTGGCTGGACCAAAAAGCATGAAAATAATACAAGACTCTTGATAACTTGTTACAATAGCAGATGAAAATTATTAAAAATACATGGGCATGATTTTTTTTATAAACATTTTAATATAAGTTCAAATTTTGTAACTAAGAAATCTAAAAATATACGAATACAGTTATTTTTTACAGACATTTTAAATTCAAATTTGGACGAAATTGCATATTAACACAAAGAATAGCGGTAATCATTTTGTTGTAATTCGGTTCCAAAACAGCCCAACTTTGCATAGGTGTATTTAATATTATTACAATATTATTTAATATTATTATACCGGCTGCCATATTAATCATAACTCATAAGTAATAACAATATAAAATATCCTAAAGACCTAAACTGACATACCGTCTCCTCTCAGAATAGTCTTTCGTATACAATGATTTGATATCAAAGAATTCAAATTTAATACCGTTACAGCGACCTCTAAGATACCTAATGTACAGCAGAGCGACATCCACTTACTCGCTTTTTAATTTTGACCCTCCAAAGTATCAACTAGATTCGCTTCCCTAATTGAAAATGTATTGGAGTGACGGCAGACACAACAAATATTAATATAAAAAAACGAACATAGTAAAATCAAAACTTTCGTCGCTCCGCTCAGAATATAAAATAGTAGAATGGTAAGATTTCTTTCAAAGATATGTAAATGTCTAGTATTCTAATGGCATTACAACGATGGGACAGGAAAGTAAAAAGTCGATACTTCTCGGAGCCATAATATTGGGCTTCGAAAAACCAACCAACATTTTCTTGAGCAATTATTAACGAGTACTGTAAATAAATTAAGTGTCAAAATAATTAATAATTATTACGAACACTGCTCTATGTTTCGAACATAAAATATTAACTTATATGTGATAATTATTTTGCTATAATTAGGTACAGGCGTATTATTATTACATTAACTGGATTTGTTATACGAACGCGTTCATCTGATAGCATGAGTAATTGACTATAATACTATTAAAATTGCAGTGATGATCACTGTTGAAGCTTTTTGACTTTGTTTTAAGAGTTAAGACTGCTACGTCGTAGTCGTAACGATGATTTGACTTAATAAAACGAAATAATAATCATCTAATGTGCGCGTGTTACGAACCATATTATTATATTTCGTCGTTACTCGTCGGCGATCGAATATTATAATAATAAAATAGCCATAACGCTGTATTGATCGCTGCGGAGTCCGACCTTTGGGTCGAACATAATAATGTGTATTTTAATTAAACAAATGACCGCTTAATAATTATTATTAATGATTAAACCGGCGAAACGTGTGTAGGTACATATTATTAAAATTAAATAATATTGTGCCTAATCTATAATATACGTAGGTACAGCGATTCTTAATATCGTCGACTTACTATGCGTAGAAACCGTCAGAAATGAGTAAGGCCGGAGGATTGATAAGACTGTTGTTGTTGATTTTATCGTCGAGCAAAAAATATGCCTTGACCTTTGAAATTAATTCGAATCGCTAATTTTATTTTGCTCTACTTAGTAATCACTCGTTGTTCGTCAAATAACTAGGTACTGTAAATATTATTGTAGAAAAATAGCCGTGAACATATTGTTATTGTAGGCCAATATTAGGTTTATATACCTAATATTGTTATTCCCTCAATATTGTAGAAAAAACATTGAAGATCGTAAATAACGCAATAAAAACAGAGTAATATTTAACGTTATCATAATATGTTTTGCACACACGCCATAGCCTCTAACATCTGTTTATAATATATATTATATTATGCTGTGTCTATAATACATAATAATAATATTATATATTATATTATGTACCCGTACTCTTGCGTGTTTGAATTTTTCTTATTTTCACCGTTTAGATAAACAAAGGTATGTTATAACAATATTATATTGTGATCTCTTATAACACTCACACATATAGTAAATATATGTTTATGCATACAGAGTGTCCACTGTGCAGGTCATTTTTGTGCACGTCGGTAAGCCAACTGCAAACAGTTCTACAACTTGGATATCTGTTCGTGTCTTAATGGTTGAAAACACTCTGAGGCGTAACTAAGACCACTTTTTTAAAGGAGAAGGGAGGAGTTGTCGCCCTAATGTTTTTTAATAGGTATTGATTATATAAAAACTTAAGAAACAGTCTTAGAGTTGCAACATGCTCTTTGCTTATTGTTTGCGTCATCGAAGAAATCATTTATTGTGATTAATATTATATCCAATATTTTCCTGAACTCTGAAAATATTTGGGAGACTTAGCCGGGGAGGGGGGGGGGCTCGTTTTACGTCAAAAGTAAAATCCATATTTTGCCTAAGGTAGCAAGTCATTTCACAGTCCTAAAGGTATTTAAAAAAAAGCAATTTGAATTCGTCAAAATCTTCGCTTTTCAAAAAATAGTCCTGTTTTTGTATTGGTCAAGGAGAGGTACTCCAAATCTCAAGGTGCTAAGGTTCACCCATCATGTAAACACGAACATTTTGGTTTGATTTCAACGTGAATTTACCAGCTATTGTGTTAACAGAGAAAACACACTGTCATCTGCTGTGATTTGTCAGTCCGTTGAATGTATTTATATATAACTATCGCGAAACGAAACACCCTGTGAATAATTCTCGCACAACGAGGTCCGTACGTAGATGCGAGTGTTTTCATAATCGAATGTAATCGCGATTTACGGCAATAGGCGGTCATTAGCGTGTCAAGGAATATTGCCACGATGCGATGCACTACGTATATCATATCGACGGGCCCCGACTATAAAACGCTGATAAACGTCGGCTAATAACCACGAAACGCCGGCGAGAGCAAACTTCGGCGTCGCAGTTACTCATCTCGTTCATTAAATACATCGTCATAATAATTATAACGTGCCAGATCGATTTCGTCTGTAAACCGTGACACGTTGTGCAGGCGAGGACATCACCTGTAAGGCTATCGGTTTTTACCACCCACACACGCCGACTGCTCGTTTATCGTCGCAACGTGTGCAATTGCACTTTAATATCGTCTTAATAATAATTTAGGCACCGAGACGCACGCAATAATGGTCGCTGAAAACGAAAACAATGACAATGGGATCGTAAGTAGACACATATAGTATATAATATTATAGTATAATATAGAGTAACATTAGAGTGCTGAATGATATTATTATTGGCCACTCACTATAATAAGCTACATTATGCCTAATAACAATAATATTCCATATAATATTATGCCTAACCTTCTGAAGTAGTCACATTCGAAAACAGACGGACCGCCAGACGAATATTATTAACGAACACGACACAGCAGGATGTTGATGTACAGCTAATAATAGTTTCTCTGCAGACAAAATCAAATCAAAGTATTATGGTTTTGCATTAAGCCGAGCATAATATGTAATACTATTATAATATGTAATAGTTACGAAAACGTTGACATAATTGACATTACTATTTTTTAGTGCATTTAATTTTTGACTTTCGAGACTATGCGGAGATATCAACGCCATTTACAAAACAAGATGATATTAATAATTAACTCTAATACATTTGTCTCGGTCAATTATTTCTAGAGTGGCTCATACAAAATTACGATTATTTGACGTCAAAATACTTCTACCCACCGTAACAACTTATTCCACGGTTAGGTCAGTTTAAAACAGATTTGAATTTTCAAACAACTAAGCTTATAACGAATTTTCCATTTTTTTTTTAAGTTTCCTAGACTTTTTTCTTTATTAAATTATATCAAATAAAGTCAAGAAATAATAAATATATCGCTGATAAATATTGAAGCATTAAAGTAAACAATTACAAAATTAAAATTCTCTATTAAAATATCACAATTTTAGATGAATTTCAAATTTGTTTTCATAATTTTTATCCGATGAATATATTGATGGAACAAGCAAAAACTTATAGTGAATTAAAAACAGTATTCTAAGTGCATGTGTTTGAGGAAGTTGAACGTCATGAAAGGTTCTCACGCACACCTATTGCAATTTATTACGCACATAGCCACATTGTTTGAAAATAAGCACGTACTACGTAATATTCATATTGCCTACACCGAAATTCTAAAAAACTAAAGTAATCCTGAGTAAGTTATTTTTAAAAACTACTTAAGCAACCTTTCATGTTACTTGGAGTAAAACCAATTGGCATTAAAACTTACCTACCTCAAGTTAGGTTCAAGTAAAACTGTAGTGAAATAACTACAGTTTTCAATAAGAAAAGTAACCATTGAAAAAAACAGAACATGGGTTTTCTTCAAACATTTTACGAATAAATAAAATTGTCAATCAACAATCAACGTATGTAGAAATAAGGTATAATATTATTAATATGAGGAAGATGTCAAACAGAAAAATATAATTCGAGGAAAGTTAATAAAGTTAAGTAGGCATCGTACAAGTTAATATGTTGTCACTTGTCATTGCATTGATAACTGAATTGTAGCAAGTCAAAATTTAAAATAATAAATCCATATAGATATTTATATTTTATAGTTTTAAGATTTTTTAACTACGTTAGTCTAGACACATAACTTTTACATGTTTGTTAACTACACGAGTGCACAATCAGATAAAAAAACGAATTTATAATGTTCTTATTCGAGGCATGTGGAATCTAGGATAACATTGTAGTATTAAAGATACTCAAACTACAGGATAAGCAAAAAAATAGGTAATGAAGATTTCAGTGAAGAGATATCAACAATATTTAGATTCTGAGCTGAGCGATGACTGTGTTGGTTTTAAACGTATGTGTATTCTTATTGCGTGTCTGTCATCAGGTTTTGAAAGTCATGTTACAATATTTAACGTTGAGAGTGGTTTTAGTTGAAAAATTGATCTAGTTCTTACTTTTGAAATTTAATTTTTTGGAATTTTATTAATGAAAATGTTGATACAAGATTTTTTCGGGCCAATAATCTTGAAAATTAAGTACAAAGATCAGAATAAGTTGTTCTTACAGAACAACAGACTTAATATTTTTATTAAGGTTTTATTGTTGAAGGCATTGAAATAATTAATAAATTATATCATATTAATTTTATTAATATAGACTATAAACATTATATTATTATGTTAATTTCCATACTCTATTTAATATCAAAATATTTAAACTAAATTTAGTTTTAACTACTATTAACACATTTTCACCATTCTACAGCAAGATATTTATTATCTGTATCAATTATTATAGTAGAAGTTAATAACTATAGTGAAATATTTATTAAATGCTATGTTTTTTTGCAAAAATGTAGATCAATATGTTTACTACTCGTACCCCGTAGTGCCTCTTTCAAAAATAAAATATATTACTCTATATGATTAGAAACAGACGCCAACACACTGACTCTGCTAAAAAATCGTTTTTTATACACGAAGATTCACTAGTGAAAATTGCAATATTTAACGAATCCATCGCAGAATCCATACTCAATGACGAGGTACACTCGAAACCTACTGTACAGCAGAGCGAATTCGTCGGTTTTTTCCACATTTACCTAATAACCCCATAAAATGTATATTAAAATGTTGTTAGGATAAGTCACATAATTTCAACATTTAATGAACTAGAAAATAATTCTAGTGAAATATTAACGTATATAAGTAGATTAGACTGTTAAATAAATGATTATTAATAATTGGTTATTTTTTATTCGCAATCTGCAGTAATATATTTCGATTTGAAATTAATTTATATATCTCAATACGATTTAAAGCCGAGCTGAGAGTTTTTTTCTTTATCGAATATATTATTTGACCAATTAGACTCAATTAACAAGCTATGTGAAATTTCTATAAATATAAATAATTTGTGTAGCCATATATCGTAAAATGAATCAATGGATCTAAAATGAATATGTTATATTGATTAAAAAATAAATACATTTTGTGTAATGGTGATTATTAACTATTATCTCTAAGTTCGTTTCTAATAGGATGCAATATAAAAATAATGAATATACGATAAGAAATATATTTTATTTAGATAATTATAATTTACCATATTTTATCTATTTCTGTAACAATATTAAGTATTCATAGTATATTTTTTTTAAAACCTTATTCTTATTTACAGCAGTGAGTAACTATCTCTTTAAAAATGATATTTTAAAATATTTAGTGCAAATTAAAAAGTTGTTCAAATTAAATTAGCATAAAGTACAAACCATAATAATAAATGTATATTATATGATACAGTTTCAACAAATTTAGATACAATTCACAGATAGGTAAATAGGTAATAAATAATTAAATTTCAAGTTTTTTATAGAGACGAAAAAAATACTTACAATATTTGAAACAGCATTTATATAACCGTTGAACCAACAAAATTCTAATATTTGTATCAATAAAAACGTTTTTTTTTTTTAAATACAATAGGTATAATAATATTGTATATTACATTATATATTAATTGATTTTAGTATTATTACATAATGAAAATAAATTGATATACTAGCTATTGTATGCATAGTTGAATAATTTTATAACGTTTTATGAACATTTAACTAAATGTAGTTTACCTATTCTGTGTTACCTTGTGAAATACAGAATGAAGAAATCGAAGATGAAGTTGAAGATCCTTTCTGTTTGGAATCAAGTCCACTTAAATTAACTTTTGAGGATATAACATCTGCTGCTTACAAGATAAAAGATGGTGTAATTAAGACAGCGTGTACGGTGAGAGTTATGAAATATTTTATTATTTTTATTTGATATTATTTGATATAATTTGACAATATTAATTTTTAACTGGCCGATATTTACGTGCAGAGATCGCATTTGTCCAGTCTTGTCAACATGGAACTTTATTTGAAAAAAGACTTTGTGCAGTACACTGGAAGGTATTATCAATACATTATTCAAATCGAATACAATTAATTACTAAATAGTCTATACATAATACATAAATATACAATGTACAAAAAGTGTTGGGGTGTTTGGGGGGAGTATTTGGTGAATGGAATCCTAGAAAACGATGATACTTCTAAAATAATGTAAAAAGAAAACCATTAATGCCAAATATTGGTTCGAAGTTGGTCACTTTTAAATCGATTTGTGTGTGTGTGTGGAGGGAGGGAACCTGCATGCATTGCAATAACTCAGTTATAGAGTGTATATGCATTTAACATACCTATAAAATTTAACGATACTTAGTATAAAAATATTGATAGTTGTACTCAAGTAAAACTAAATTTATGATGGGCGTTAATTTTTGATTTTTGAGTATTTATTTTACTAAAAACTAAGGACATTATCGTGTATTACAGCTTCAAGGAACGCGGAGCGTGCTATGCTCTGATGATGTTATCCGACGAGCATAAGCGAAACGGCGTGATATCTGCATCTCTGGGTAACCACGCACAGGCTCTATGTTACCACGGTAAACGGCTCGGAGTACCAGTGACAGTGGTTATGCCCACGGTAGCTCCGATAATAAAAATCGAGGCCTGCAGGAATTTCGGTGCCACCGTCATCGTTCAGGGCATCAACATGAAGGAGTCCAAGCACCTCGCTCTCAAGCTATCCAAGGAGAAGGGAATTATTTATATCAATGGGTCTGTACAGCGGATATTATGCTAATTTAGTAATGCTACAGCGCCATATTAGAATATAAATTTAATTTAATTACGTATTATACATTTAAATCGAAATATATCATAATAAATTATATCGCGTAAGATTTCTCACGGAGGTTGTATTATTATTCGATTCTTTGTTTCAGTAGGGCACTCAACCTTAAATAATGCAGTGGTATTTGCATATTATGTATTTATGTCTTCATATTTGTCTTTTCCATGATTTTCATTTTTTCCCCAACAGAATTCATCATTTGAGTACGAAAGTCTAAAATTGCATCCTTTCTACAATAATAACCAATAAATATTAACATGTATAGTACTTGTACTAAACAATCAATATGTTATAAACTTAAACGGTTGTTCCGCACAGATACGATCACCCTCACATAATGGCTGGTCAAGGCACAGTGGGACTTGAAATATTAGAAGACGTTCCGGACGCCGATGCGATCGTCGTTCCTGTTGGTGGTGGTGGTTTGCTGGCTGGAGTGTCACTGGCTGTCAAAACATTGAAAAAAAACTGCAAAATTATCGTGAGTTCATGATTTTTACAGTACCACGAAATAATATGAAGTATTCAAATAATTTGATGTACCTTTACAATTTGCACATATTGTATTTTTTCTCAATGAGGTTTTCATTCTATCTTTTTATATTTTTATATCGACAATTCTTGGGATGAATATCAAAATATAGTTTCATGTTAATATGGTATCTTGAAAAACAGATTTTTCGTTATAATTCGGAGTTATTGAGATTTTATGATTTTCTCAATTGTATTAAAATGTGACGTACCTACGTTTAAATGTGTCTATAATATTATATATTAATTTTTAATGAATTTTAATAATATTCAAGTATAACAACACGGCGTTTTAGGTAGGCAATTAAGTTACACTACAGCATCCATTCGCAGTGCGTCTATTTGAAGAGAAATCATTTTTTGGAAATATATAACTAATATTATTATGATGGTATTTTGGTGTCTTGTCAGTATATTATGCCAATATAGGAAGGGGCAGACCTGAACTTAGGGGATGCCTACAAAATATATGGGCCCTTTTATTAATTCGGGCACTCGCATGAACATATTAATTAATATATTAATCAATGGTACCTATATACCTAATTACTAGTATAAACTATTAAGTTATATATTTCCTTGAATCTAATATCTATTTCTAAGATAATTACATTGGTTATTTATTATTTGTACTTTTGTAGTGAATTACATCTAGCATTACATCTATTTATTATCTCAATAAGTTATTCCACTCAAATTTAAAATATTTTAAGTTGTATTATTTTTTTATCACGAAACATGATTTATTTTCCGTTTTATTTTATATTCCACAAGAATGCAAATGGCTTGTTTTTAATCGGTACATTTCTGAGTGCACACATTTTTTTGACAATTAATAATATGTCGTGCTTCAATACAAAATACTATTATACTGAGCTGAAAGTATATGTGACTTGGGCTATTTGAATGTTATCAGAGTATAACTTTATATTTTATTGTTTTTAGGGCGTTGAATCTGACCGAGTGCCGAGTTTCACGAAAGCGATGGAACATGGTAGTCCGATTACCATCGATGGCAAGAGCACGCTGGCCGATGGTTTAGCCGTGCCAAGAGTCGGGTGTAACGCGTTTGCCACCGCCGCGGGTCTGGTCGATAAAATGGTAAGTATGCGTCTGCCAATCGGTTATTCCATACTGGTCTAAAATCTACCCGATCACATTTTCCAAAGGTGGGCATTAACTAATTAAAAAGTTAATTTTTTTTTAACTTTTTAACTTAACTAGTTAGTTTGTTTTCTAATTAACTTATGAACTTAACTAGTTTAATTTACTGTTGAAATAACTTAGCTATTCTCAGTTGATTTAAAAAAAAAACCAATAAGTTAAAAACATTTTGAAATTGTTTGTTTATACTTAAATATTACCATATCAGTATAAAATTAAAATAATCCAATACTATAATAACATAAACATTTCTGTACTTTTTCTTGATAACATAATTTTGTGTATATTAATATATTTTATTTATTAGAAAGGCAATAAGCTATTATCATTTTATAGTATTAGATGTTTGCAGCACAAATAAGTAATAACAATAATTTATTATCGATAAGAGAAATACAGCTTCACGTATTATGACATTCAATTGCTATACGATATAAAACAATTTATTTGTTAAATGTTAAATTATTAATTTGAGATGAGTATAGTTTAATTTAATAAATAATAAAAAAGTAAAAGGGTATACAGTGCACATTATGAGAAAAGTTAAATCAAATTGATTTATAATTTATAAATTAGAAACTAGAAAGACACATTCACTCTTTATGTGATTTACTTATAAAAAAAATAGATTAACTTTTTTTAAACTGAGTTAAGTTAATTTTTTTTCTATATTAACGTTTAACTTATCGAGTTAAGTTTATAATTTGTTAACTGTTAACTTTTAACTTATCGATCTTGTGTCCTCTTAACTTAACTTAACTTGAGTTAATTATTTTCATTAACTTGCCCACCTTTGACATTTTCTAAGTAAAACAAACCTCTAATGAAAGAAAAATGACAGAAAATAAACACGTGATTAAAGTTTGGATTAACAAAACAAATTAAAGAAATTTGGTTAATAAATTAATAGTGAAAAGTGTGTTTCGCGCCATTGGTGTTAACTCACCAAGCTTATGTACCTATAGAAAATCAATCTGACGCTTTGTGAGACAAACAATAGTTAAAGGAAATATAAAAATATATTAACCATAATTTAAATCATAAAAAAAATTATAAGTATCATTAGAATTATTTAATTTTTGTTTTAATACATAAGTCAACAAAAATATGTCATCAGCATTCTTACCAAACTATTAGTATACTATAGCATAGGTAATATCAAATTCATATATTCGAAAACCATCTAAACCGACCAGATCCTCAGCTATCATCTCCCACCTATCACCCGTTGATCTGAAAACTACGAAAAAACGGGTTACTGTGAACTTAATCTCATAATATGTACTGATGTCGACGAAACTATCCTTTTCTAGATCGTGGTCACGGAAGAGTGGATATCGATGGCTATTCTGCGTCTCGTTGAGTCAGAGAAGTGCGTTGTGGAAGGCGCCGGTGCCATCGGACTAGCCGCCGCGTTGTCGGGTACTTTGGACGAGTTTGTGGGAAAAAAGTGAGTGGATTGTATAAATTGTAGACGTTTGGTGGGAAGTATTGCATGTGATGGAATATAACTCGTTCCCAGGCCTTAAGCTTTACCGCCGACGGTAAACCACTATAGGAGATTTTTGAATTCAAAATGAAAGTACAATAATATCTTGATGTTTTATGACCAACATAGGTAAATAAGTGATACCATTTAAAAAATAAAACAAAATTACATTTGTCGAGCTTTCATTATAAGCTTTTAATAATTATCAATGTAAAAAATTAATTATCCCTCGCACTTACCTCAGTTTGCACCTAGCTCATGTTGAAATTCGGGTTTCAGTCACGGTCTGACATTAGTAAAACGTTGAATGTAATATTCAATATAATATTATAAACTTTGGCATTTGCTGGACGGACCACGGGCAACCTAGTCCGACGGTGGTGATTATTCTACCTCATTAAATTTATTAACATGGTTATTAAGTAGTACAAGGTCATGTCATTCAGTCGACAATATTATAAATTAATTTCAGTCAAATTAACGTAATGGTAAATAATGAACTCAAGTTGTAATTAATCGTATCATCGAACTATTATAATAGTTATTAACTTTCGTTGCATTGGCGTAATTTTTAGAGTCGTTTTGTTGCTGTGCGGTGGCAACATCGATACGTCCATACTGGGAAGGTGTTTGGACAGAGGACTGGCCATCGACGGTAGACTGGTCAAGTTCCACGCTACGTTGAGCGACAGGCCCGGTGGTATTGCGGAACTATGCAGAGTGTTGGCAACGATTGGCGTTTGCGTAAAAGACATCATACACGAAAGGGCTTGGTTGTCGGACGACGTCTTCAGTGTTAGGGTCAGTGTGTCAACTAAACGATTTTTTTTTTTTTTATCATAAATTAAATTGTTAGTTTTTCGGTAAATTTATATATTAATATAATAAATTGTAAGGCACCTTCAATGGTCATAAATCACAGGGGTTTAGATTTCATAGGAAATTAAAAATAATAATCAGCTGTCAAAATCTAGAGTTTAAAAATTTGATTCTTGTTAAGATGTACCCAGTGTAGGCCCTCCTAGCTACCCGTGGTTTTTATATTTATTGTTTATCACAACCAAACTCCAAAATGTCATGATATCTAACTGTGATTTTCTTACTACAATATTGTGTATAAATAATTATGAGCATATTTTATATTGAATTCAAAAAACAAAATGGCAATGCAATTCTATGTTTTTGAGTTCGGGTCTCTGAAAAATATTTATTATTAGGGACCAACATTTGATGCATTTGCAATTTTTGAAATGGTTTTATATGATTATATGCCCCTGGCACCTTCCATACCTATTTATAGAAATATAATATTTGTCACTCGAAACTATCTGTAACAAAAATTTATAATTGAATTTATCTTGTTTTAAGAAGTACTTTTTTTTGTAACCCATTAATTTGATAAGACTAAAATATATTAAAAACAAATCAAACAATACATATAATTATCCCAATCCTTTATTTTCTCTTGGATTTTTTTTCAGTTCTTAATATTTATATATAAGTTATTTTATCCCTTTTCAAAGATAAATTACCTTAAGGTAATATGTATATTATAATTTTCTTTTAAGTCATCGAGTTTCAAGTGTTAGTAATAATATTTTGTTCAATGAACATAAACATTACCATAAATCGTGAGCCAGAGTGATATTGAATGTCTTATTTAAGTCAATTCAGGGAACAAAAATTGTTTTTAGAAGCCGTTCTTCTACGATAGGACAGACGTCTTGTGATCTGAATGCCGGGAGGTTTAATTTAATGTCATACTGTTATCTGTTACAGGTCAAAGTGGTATGCGAGACGAGAGACTTGAGACACGCCCGTCTGCTGCAGGAGGTTGTAACGAAGAACTACAGTTCTTCAGTGTTTGGCAACATACCATTACCCAAGGTTCTTTGAATCTTAAAGATTTAACGTTTTAATTTTTTCCCATTAATGTTTTTGTTTGATTTTCGATTATAATATATTATTATTACTATTAATACTGGAGAGTGGTACTAGTATAAGAAATTGACATCACCTAACTATTTAGCTATTGACATTATGTTTTACAAATAAATAAACGCTTTATTTTTGTACTGCGAACGAAGATATTTTATTTTTGTATATTAACATAACAAAAACACACAAACACGCATAAAATGTAATAGTTTTTGTTTAAAATATTGACTTAACAACTTATGTTGTTTAAGTAAATTGACCTATTTGGAAACACACAAAATTCAATCAAAAGACAATTACTGAATAAAATTGATTTAAATGCGAACTAAAAATTATTGCATGTACACACTCGTGTTTATATTGTATAAATATACGTGATAGCTAGCGATGTCACCGATAACACGAACTTTTTCCATAAATGACGATCAATTCAAATGAGATAATATAATATATTAATATATTATATACATCAGTCTCTCGTGTGGTGTGTGCCGAACGTCGTCGTCGCATTATACACGAAATGTCGAGTCACCAGGGACGTTGTTTTCGTACCAGTGAGTTCGTTGGTTCTTTTTATACTTTTTACATAAGACCTCTCCGCCACTATTGGGCAACCGTTTTTTTGACGGTTCGAATTTCTTTCCTATTTATACAGCACAAATGTCTTGATATTTTCTACAATTTTTATTTTTATGCTTACAAATAAAACAAAAAAAACTGGACTCCAACGGCTCGGACCAAAATAGCGGTGCCGAATCGATATAATATCCATTCAAAGTATTACTTATTGACATAAGACATACCCTGTATCAAGGAAAAAGGAACTGTAAATCTTTTAGATTCTGGGTGGAGCGATGAATGTATTGATATTACAATGAAATGTGTTTTCATATTTATTCATTTATTATAGTTATTTTTTTTTTGTGTCTGTCATCACGATTTCTTGCAGTAAAAGTGCTTCGATTTTTTTCCATAGTAGCTTTTCTGGTAGGAAAATGAATCTAGTTTGTGCTTTTGGGAGGTAAACATTTAAAATTCTCAATAGTTTTCAAAAGCAATAGGAAAAACAAACAACAAATTAAGGAAAACGGGAATTTTGAAAAAATCGTTTTTTTTTTTTATTGATCTAAAATACATCGACAACTAGACAATTAGTATAAGAATTCGTGTTAAGTTATATTGTTAGTATTTACATTTTAATTAAATTAAATTAAATTATACAATTCAGTTTTTTGTAGAAATAAGATTAAGTTTTTTACATCCTGTGGGTTTGGTAAAAGTGCTTGACAGATTTGTTCTGAGATGTGGAATTGGTTTCGATCTGGTTGTATTTGTGACATTTAGTGATGGTGTGGTTGATGGTTAAAGGAACGCTGCATGAGTCACATATATCGGGGGTTCGTCTTTATTCATCAAGTAGCTGTGCGTTTGGTGCGTGTGACCAATTCGGAGGCGGTTTATTATGGTTTCTTATTTTCTACTGAGTTCGGGATTTTTCCATATGTCTATATTATTTTTTATTTTGTGGAGTTTGGTGTTGAGTTTACGCCAGTGAGTGTGCCATTTGTTATTTAAGTGTAGGTTAATTTCGTTCTTTGCATCTGTGAATGTGATAGAATCTATAGTTACGGTTGATGAGGAGACTATTGCAATGTGGGCTTCTTGGTCAGCCCTTTAATTTACGGGAATGCCTATATGTCCCGGAATCCATACAAAATAAATATGTTTATTTTTTTTTCTTGCAAGGAAAGTTTCTTTTTGTATAAGCTTTGTGATATCTGGTTGGTTACGTGTGTTTGTGATGGCGATTAGGTTGATGAGTGAGTAGCTGAGTATTATAAATTTTGTTTGGTGGTTTGCGTATTCTGTGTGGATATATTTTACGGCTTTGTATATTGCCATTGCTTCTTTCGTTGATATTGAGGCTTGAGGTGAAAGTTTGTACGATATTGTTTGATTGTTTATTGTCATTACGAGCCCCACTCCATGATTAGTCTTGGAGGCGTCGGTATATATGTGCACGCTAATACGCTATTAGGATGCTCTTGTAATAAGTTTTTTAGCATGCTTTTGTATATGGAAGGCATGGTGTTTTCTTTTTTAAATTCTGTAAGAGTAAGGTTAACATCGAATGTTATGTTCTATGGGGGAAATTGTATGGTTTTCTTTCTAAAATGTTCTTTATTTTTATATTTTCTTTTTCGGCTTCATGTAGATACGTATTTGTTACTTTGATGGCTAGGTTGTTTATATTTCTTTTGGTTCTGGCACAATAAAGTAGAAGTAGTTTTTCTCTTTTAAGTTTTAAGGTTAGATGGAATTTCATTAACGATGTTCATAATACTCTCAATTGGACTGGATTTAAATCCCCCTATTGATAGTCTTATGGCAGTATTTAATTTGGTTTGTATCATGTTTAAGTGGTTGCTTTTGGCATTTTTAAATAGTATTGAGCCATAGTCTGTTTTAGATCGAATTATGGCTTTATAGATCATTACTAGAGTTGAACTGTCGCATCCCCATGTTGTGTGGGCAATTATTTTGATTATATTGAGTTTTTGAGATATTAAGTCTCGGATATTTTTAGACGAGATAGCCAATTTAGTATGGAGTCGAATGTTATTCCTAGAATTTTAATTTTATTGTGGTGAGGTGTATCTAGATTATCTCATGTTATATTGAAAACTTTTGCTTTTTTTTTGTTTTGTAAAGATGATGTTTTGAGATTTGAGGTTAGAGAATGAGAAGCCAGTTTTTTTTTACCAGACAGTTAAGCTGTTAGCACTTATTTGGAGACTCTTGAACAGTTTTTAGGTTATTACTTTGGTAAAATATGTTAAAGTCATCGGCGAATAAATTAGCTTTTACGGGAACTTTTATTGTTTTAACAACGCCGTTAATGGCCAAGAGAAAAAGTGTAACTGCCAGAGCTGATCTCTGTGGGATGCCATTTTCTTGGTTGAACGTCTTTGATAGGGTATGGGATACATTGACTTGAAATTGTCTTTCTTTTAGGATGTTTATAATATATTTGAACATGTTGCCGTTTGTCAAAATTTTACTCAATAGAGTTAGTATTCTATGTCTATATACAGAATCGTACGACTTTGTAATATCCAGACTGATCATTCCTAGTATTTGTTTGTTTGAATTCATTTTCTATTTCAGTTTTTAATGTAATTAGGTTATCCATTGTTGATCTATTGTGTCGAAAGCCACTTTGCTCTTTGGATAATATTTCGTTTTTTTCTAAAAACCATATTAATCTTATGTTTTATGATCTTTTCCATAATTTTTGTCATTGTATTTAGGAGTGAGATAGGTCTGTATTCTTCAGTAGAATGTTCCTTTTTTCCCTGGTTTGAGAATAGGAATTATTATTCCCTTTTTCCATTCTTTAGGAATTACACCTGAGTGCCATATTATATTGTTGTATATATCCAATAAGAATTTTTTCGCTGTTTTTCCAAGATTTATAATAAAACAATAAGGGATGCTGTCAGGACCGGAGCTTTTGCTTTAACACTTATTAAGTGGAGTTTTCATTTCGTTGAGTGTGTACGGACCGGGAACGTTACATTTTTATAACGTGATGCCCGGTCACCAAAATACTTCGTAGCGCTACACACTGACCGACCTGTGTATATTTGTGTATATATGTATAGCAACTCTAAAAAAGTGGACGGGGTAGGCGAGCAAGACTAGAGAGTGCTAGTGTGTGGTGGACGGTGGTGTGTGTAGATGTGTATATTTGTGGGTGTGTGCTTAAAAACTGCGCAGGGCAATTAAATAAAAGGGTAACATGGTTGCTGGTAAGTGTAGGTTGCTGTATAATGTACAATAAATAATTCACAAAATATAAATGGCCCTTCTTGCCCAACAATAATATGATATGATAATAACAATATACGGCCCTTTTGGCCCAACAATTCGAATATAATAGTGTAAAAATAATATAGATAACAGTAATAATACAAAAAACTGACAATTTGTGGAGCACGGCTGGCCAGCTGCTACCTGTGCCTAAAATAATACAAATTTACGACACACACGACAACAAAAAAAATGATGAAATCAATTTAAAAAAAAAATAAATAAAAAACTTCGGCGATTAGCGCCAAAGTGAGTATAATAATGAAAGTGGCGATTAGCGCACACACAGGTATAATAATAGTGGTGATTTAATAATATAAAAATACTGACGATATGCACCGGATAATAATAATAATAATAATATATAAGTGGCGATTCGCGCCTTATATAAAAACACTGACGATATGCGCCGGGCTATAATATATGTCGCGTTGACTGTGTGTCACGAACGAACTGGTGGAACGGCGGCCGTGTTAAAATAATAATCACGTAGCCAGTGCGGCGGCATTCGATAACAAGACTTAATTATCTATAATATGTTATATAATTCACACGGCACATTTAAATAGGTACAAAGTAAAAATAATAATAACGTAATATATAATTCACACAACATAATTAAAACTAAAACAAAAACAATAAAAATATAAACAGATAAGTGGAACAGATATGTTGTGTGCGAGTGTGTGGGTAGGTCGGTGGTGGCGGAAACGAAGTGTTATACTGGAATTCAGGACAATTTGATCACTGTTGTTAGGGTTTATTGTTGAGATTATTGGTGAATTTTCAGATGGTATTTTTATTTCATCTATAAATTCTTGTTTGTAAATTGTGTTGCTAAAGTTGGCTTGGAAGTATGAGCCGACTTTTTCAGCGACATCTTCAGTAGAAAAAGTTGTTCCTTGCTCGTCAGATATATCATATATGTATTTCTTGATTTTGCTTTAGGCCTTTCAATGAATGGATTTTGTTCCATATCTCGAATGAGTTAGTTTTGGAGTTGATGCTGGTTGTAAATTCTTTTCACGAGTTTTTTTTTAATTAAAAATTTGGCTTGTGCTTGAAGTTTTTTAAGTTGTATTCAATTTTCTATTGTTTTACTTTTTTTACACGAGTTTACGGCGTTTTTTTTTGTTGGATATTGCTCTATTGATCTCGTTATTCCACCAGAGAATTTTGGGGTTTTTGTTGTGGTTTATTAAGCTACCGATTGATATTTCAGGTGCCGAGGTAATTATGTCGGTTAGTGTTTTGCCTAAGTTTTCGATATTTGGTTGGTCATTGTATTGTATTTTGGTAATTTCTTCTTCTATAATATCATTAAATAATGTCGAGTTTGGTGTTTTTAAATTCCATCTGTGGGTTTTATTCTATTAGTACCTCCTATCCTGGTTATGAAGTTTGTGATTATTGGGAGGTGATCACTAATGTAGCACACTTTCCACTTGAGTCTTTGTGCTAGGGAAGATGTGCACATAGTTAGGTCGATACAGGATAAAGTTCCATTAGCTAGGTTTATGTGGGTGGGAGAAGTTTCGTTTAGAATTACTATATCGTCGTCTTCTAGTAGTTTTTTGATTAAATATGCCTCTATAATCAGTTTTCCGATCCCCACAATGTGCAATCAAAGTCACCTAATAAGATAAATGGCTTAGGGAGTTATTTTGTTATGTTTACAATGTCAGTATTAATTCGATTTTAGTTTGGTTGGATAAGTATAAATTGTATACATTTAATTCCGTTTGATTGAATTGTATTGAAATGGCAATAGCTTCAAGATATGTTTTTAAGTTTATTTGTTTGTTGAGAAAAAAAATTCTTGACATAAATTGCTACTCCTCCGCTGGCTTTTAAACTGTTGGTTCTGTTTTTGGTGAAGCTTGTATAATTCCTTAATGTTTTATGGGTTTGGTCAGTAAAATTAGTTTCTTGTAGGCATATGAGGCGAGGAGAATGCTCTGCTGTTAATATTTTTAATTAATTTGTTTTTTTTTTTTTTGAAAGCTGTTGAGGTTCCATTGTAATATATTTGTGATTTGTATGTGGTTTTTAACTTTTTGGTTTATATTTATTGAAATTTAACGTTTTGGTTGATATTTATTCAGATAATGGCATTAAGAGTTTGACTCTGGTGGAGTTGATTGAAATAGTAGATTTGATAACTTGGTGAATTTAGTTTTTGTAGCTCTGTCGTTTATCTTAGGTCTGACTATTTCGATAGTTTTTAACATTGAAGGTATGTCTACATTAGAGAGAATGTATGTTAATTGATTTGATGGAGACATTTTCTAGTATATGTTTGAATTGGGAAAAGGAGATGTTGATTCCTTCCTTTTCAGAGAAAAGACCATGTATAGATTTAAGGGCATAAACGGCTTTTGTAATAATATTTTCGAGCGAATTGCTTTTTTAAAATTTTTTATTTTGATCCTGACATATTTCCTTATTTATTTTTAATTCAAGCAGTTTATATTCTAGTTTTTTGGTTTGTATGGGTAGCTCAATGTTTGGCAGTGTGTCTGTTTCTTCCGATATTATTGGTGATGAAGGGCAACTTGATGATGGAGGGGATCTTTTGGTTTGTTCATTGGGTAAGCTTGTATTGGTCATTGATTGGCTTAATATATTTGAGTTTTGGATATTTTTAGTTATGGAGTTAGCATTTACTAAGGTTTTATCTTCTCCGTGTGTGGAATTTGTGACCCTGATGTGGGTTTCATCGATTGTTGGTTTTTGTGTATTGTATTTATTAGTGATCATGATATTTGATTCTTTTTTACAATGATTAGATGTGTGGCCCCTTTGTTTACATGAGTAGCAAATGAGAGTGTCATCAGTTAGGAAAATTCTGAAGTCTGTGTTGTAATATTTGATTATTAATGATACCGTTACATTTGCGGGGATATCCCGAGTGCTTCCCGTTTTTAATTTTTAACTTTTTCATAGCCCAAGTGCGTCCGCCATCTTATCGACAAATAATAATGAATAGCCCGAGTGCGTCCTCGGTCCACAGCTGCTATAGGTATCTATTTAAGATATTTAAACACTGGAAACGGTGGGAAATTAATTTTCATTAATCTATTTGGATTACCATTATTCAATCGAGTAGAAGTAGAAAACTGTATTATTGAAGATTTTATATCTATAATGCCAAAACATCAAAAACTTAACGAATTTATGGATAATATTATAGAAAATTATAGAGATTCTGGAGCAAAATTTCCTTTTTCCATGTGGGCCAAAATGAATAATAGTTCTGAAAGGACAACAAATGCTTGTGAAAGCTTTCATTCCAAGTACAACTCGTTATTTTATACACATCACCCGTTCATATACACATTTTTGGAAATATTAAAAAAAAATCAAATCGATACTAAAAAAGCAATCCGAACCGCTACACAAACAACAAAAAAACCAAAACAAAGTACTTGCAAGAAAATATTAAACAATTTAATAATAATGAAATATCAAGATTCGATTTTGTCAAAAGAATGGCATTTAAACACCAGCCTATAATAATATATAATAAAAACAAATAACGTTTTAATAAATTGTACGCTCACCTAAACTTAACGGCGTAAGCTAGTTCTAATAATAATAATAAAAATAATATTTTTGGGGTGTAAGCCAATTCACCTCCTCGTGGTGCACCCTGGGTAATTCTAAATGAACTGGACGCTTTCAGGCTATGTACAAAATATGATCTTTTTTTCTTGGGACGCACTCGGATGATACCTTATTATGGACGCACTAGGAAGATTAAAAAAGGGTCATTTCGGGACGCACTCGGGAAACTCCCACATTTGCTGTGTCTTCAGGGTGTTTATATACCTGTCTCCTAGAACTTCTGATGTGTGTGAGCTCATCTTGGAAACCAGTTTTTAAAAAGGTTATTGTTGATAGTGTCTTAATATTTTCGAATAGTAAGTGGTACAGTGATTACTTCATGTAGTATTATCTAGTGAGCATTAGATATTATAAATCTTTTGGCTGGGTTTACTAGGTGTCGGAATGGAATTTTATTTTCGTTAACTGATGTAAGCTAATAGTTTTGTATCAGTTCGTCAACGGTAAGTTTGTCTCTGAATATATACAAAATCTATTGTTTGATACGCGGGACGCGAAGATGATGTTTTTAGGAGATGTTATTTAGCTAAATGTATTGACATATTCTATTTGTGGTATCTCGTTTATCGCGTTTAGTATAATGGCTTGTTCTTTTTTTGGAAACATTATGTTGGCCGTTGTTTCTGCTAAGGTTTTTGTGTTGTTTGTTTTTGGAAGTAGTGAGTGTTGAGATAGTTTATGGTTATTCATATTGGATAAAATATCCTTAGACATTTTATCGCTATAATTGGCCGTGGTGAGCCGACTACCGACGTAATTAGGCGTTGCGATTACCAGTAAGATAAGATTACACACCTATTTCGCTGTATATCACGATTTAAGATAGTATGGTTGCCCATCGACTACGGTAAAGTAGCTTATCGAACGATCATCGAAATAAATCTTGCAATCAGCTGTTTTTAAGACTACAGCGCTTTTAGCGGATAAAATAAAGAATATGCAGATTACTTTTACCAATGAGCACAGCTATAGTGTGTTAAATGATTATAATAATTTGCAAATTAATATTTCTCATGAACCAGCGTTATGTTCTAATACCAAATAGATATTTATGTTAATTATACCTACAGTAATAAAATATTATTATCATGCATTTTTCTAAACTTTATTATTTGTGTTCTAGAATATTGTTTGTATTAAAACTATTGTAATTATTTAATTAGTATCCAATCAATGGATACCATTTACAAAAACTTGTGTCATTTAACCATATAGGTACTCTGGTACTCATAATACCAATACCATTTTGTCTATGGTTGGAGCGAGTTATGAGTTTACAACACTATTTTTATCACATGGAGCGCTGCATAGTAAAAAAAATGAGATTCACCGTACTGGCTTTCTTATCACAATTCGACAGGCAACCATACTATCTTAAATCGTGCTGTAGATTGTTGTGTGCTTGTGTATACTGGTACTGTTATCGGTAGCTAAGAAATACGAACACACGTGTGCTTGGGACAGAGGTCAAACATATACTGAAATCGATTTTTGTTTTTAGTGTAATTCTAACAAAAATGACTGTAGATACATAACATTTTCACTGAATATTTGTGTAAGCATCTATTTTTCACCATAACATTTCCAAAATAATTTGATTTGTTTTGAAATATTTATAGGCATATGAAATTTTCGATTATTATTTTTATCAGCATTTTTTTTTATAAGCATTTAATTAAAGTTCAAATTTTGACAATATTTATCAAATTGAAAATTGAAAATAATTTTGTAGTTAAAAATGTATACAATTTTCAATTTTTAAATCTAAGGATTGGAAATTTAAAACAAGGTTTCACTTAAGTAGTTTTTTTCATAACCAATAAATCTAAACAATATATGAATACAATTTTTTTTACAGGCATTTTAAGTTCAAATTTCGACAAAATTTCATATTAACACAAAGAATAACGTTTATCATTTTGTGATTAGGTATATCTTTCGTTTCCGAAACAGCCTAATTTTACATAGGTATATTTAAATTTTTCCAGCATCACTGATAATTTAAGAATCATATTAATTCATTCGACTTACTGGTTACCATATTATTAATAAGTAATAGCAAGATAAAATATCCTAAATTGACATACCCTCTCCGCTAAGAATCGTTTTTCGTATACAATGATTTGACATCATTGAATTCAAATTTGATACCTTGCATCCATTACAGTGACATCCACTTTTTTAATATTTGAAAAACTAAACGTCATATTAAAATTATGATATTTGCATCGTCTTAAACACATAAAGCCACACATTTATACGTAAATTAGATTTCAAAAATACAATATTTAGGTTGGTAAATCGTTGTGTGAAGTAAAACACTTTTACACGTATAAGCTATGCAATTACTTTTTTAGTAATAATTATTGGTCGCAACTCGCAATGACTGATGTTGAATGACAACAACTTTAATAATAATATTATCAATTAATATTTTAATGTAATTTAATATAATCTATTATTTCAAAAATAGTCAGGCACCACTAGAATTTTTTTCCAGGGGAGGCAGAGTGGAGCAAATATTTTTTTACATGGGCTAAAATTGTTTCAACAAATGCTGAGGTTATTTAAATAAAATATAAATATTTTCGTATCATATAACATAATATAGCTATTAGCTATATAGTACATACGTTTTATATTGTATGCTCTAAACGTATAAACAGATAATATATACAAACTTTTGAATAGTTAAAAATGTTTTAAGAATAATGTCAAACATTTTTTTTGTACCTTATGTAATATGTAAGAAAATGTTTAATCACAGACCTTCCAACAACTATTTTCATAATGATAACACGATATACAAAAATGATAATTTCTTTATGACTTTAATATTTGTGAATAAATAATTATGTTTCTTTTACTTACCTACATTTCATAAATATAAATTTAAATTTAAAGGATGTGTTTAGTAATGAACAATTGATATCTAATTTTAATATTATCATTTATTTCCTACCTATTTAAAAATAGACTATAAGACGGGCGTTGCATATTGACGCATTGATACGCTGCGTCGCACGACCGTATAAAATATTAATATTATTACATATTTATACCAGTTTTTATAACGACAAAAACTTAATGCACAAGTTTTCGAAAATACAATAGTATTTCATAAACTAAAAAGGAATATTTCATAAATTCTTTGATGTGGCTCTTATTTAAAAATAATGTATTATGACTTAATGACTTTATTATATCGTACATATTTTTCAGTGGGGGGAGACTGGTGAGGGGGCTGATCTGTTTTCTGGGGGGGGGGGCTAGAGCCCCACCTTGCCACCCCTTGGCGCCGTGCCTGCCTGGAAATGGAGAATGTTTTAAATAATTTGTGTTGTGTGATGGTAACTAGAACATGGAGGTTGAACGGTTATTATAAGCTGAGCACGAGACGCAATTTAGTAAATAAGGGGCATCAATTTTGTTATTGATTAATTTGTGAATAAAAGAAATATCTCTAGTAACTAGAGTAGGGAGGTTAAGAAGGAGTCTCATTAGAGTAAAGTGATGTTGATCAATAGTTATTTTGAATTTAAAAGCTATAACTTTTAAAAAACGGTATTGAATTCTTTCGATAAAATTTATATTAGATTTGGTATAGGGACTCCAAATGGTTAATCCACATTCTACGATTGATCTAATGTTAATTAGACTGCACGTTAGTGCAGTAAAGTAATTTCAAAGAATCCAAATCTTTAAATTCGGATGAATGGAGTTTTACAAAGCCGTAATGATTTTTTTTGTAATGATTTTTTTACCACGTATTCGACATGATCCTGGAAACTAAGATTGTAGGTTAGGATTATACTCAGGTCTTTTATGGATGACACTGAATTAAGTTTGTTATTATTTATGTAATAAGTAAATTATATATGCTCACGGGACCTGTAAAAACACATGGAATGGCACTTATATGTGTTTTTAAGATCATTTCCCAAACCTGGCACCACTTTGATAATATGTTAGTGCCTCTTGAAGAATTAAACAGTCATTGATTGAGGGAATACGAGAATACATTTTTGAATCGTCTGCAAATAATGCGTGCATTAGAGTTGATTTTACGTTCAATCGAGTCAAAAACGGCAATCTTTATTCCTGCAAATGATGCGAAATATTCAAATCTACACCTACGCCGTTATGGTAAAGTACCTACCTACCGTATACACGATAATATAATAATAATAATGACAAACAATAACCCTTCCTGTTCATATCCAGTAAATTTTATGTCGCTGAATTAATTTTTCAGATTAAGATTACAAATTATTGTTTTTGGTTGAATATTATGATGACATACACATTGATACGCATGCACATATCATATCAACGCACACACCCATGGTGAAATTCGAGTACTTGTCGTGTGCGCAATACAAAATATTTTCTTATAATGCGCATCCGTTAATGTAAAATGTTATTATATTAAAATTATAATAATAATATGCATATACTTATTATATACTTCCTATACCTAGGTATATAAAGTTTGCTACATGCAAGGTAAAGTTGAGACTTTTTGCAGTTATTATGCCATCCAGCCTCCTGTAATATACCATACTGAATAATAGTTATGAATATGGTTTCTTTTTTAGCACTATTTTTTAAGTACGATATTTACCATACACATACTACATACGTGTATTGTAATTGTTTGGTGTAGCTAACCTTATTAACAATGTTAATTAATTATTTTATACTATTTTCGTATGCGATAAACCAATTACCAGTCGGGCAGTCCATCATTCAACTATTCAAGTATACTATTATAGTACATAATATAAGTAGATGTTTTCCACAATTTTCATTAACGATAACACGACAAATAAAATATCAATAATGAGCTTTATAGTACATAATAANATCAAAAATCGTTATCACTTCCTACATTTTTGTTTTTTAACTACCCATGACGTCAACAGGAGTGACTTCTAAAAGTAATTTCAACGACATTGACGCCTGCATCGCCGAGTCTCACAAGCTCCCGAGTTTCACGACAGTGAGTTTCACAAGCAGCTAATAATAATAATAAAATAATAACATAATAATAATAACCCTCATAATAACAACATCGATAACGGAAAAAATAATATTGCTCTTTTATTTTATAACGATTATAATTTATGAACCGGTTTGAAGTTCGAAAATTTAAATCGAACTCAGGTGATGGTTCAAGTTCGAAAGTGAAACACTATTGTTTTAAAAAATTAATCCAAACCGAGCTATGACATAAGTTCAAAATTCTATAAATAATCGGAACTTTGAACAAAAAATTGTCAAACACCTCAAACATTTTGAACAAAAGATGTCTCCAGTGTTTATTTTTAAATTTGTATTTTGTCTATATTACTCTATTTAATCGACAAAAAATACATACATATTTCATACTTGCTTATTATTTTTGAAGTGCAATAATTGAATGTTCGTTCTAGTTGAATCATTGATATTTTTTGTTAACTTAAAATTACAAATATAGAATTATAATTATAATGTATTGTTCAGACAGTTATTATTCACTGTAGGTACTATTGAATAATATAGTTATATTTTTTTTTATTGATCTTAAGCTTCGGCAACTGAGGCCATTAGCTGTAGTAGGTATTGTAGGATTGTATTGTAGGTTTGTATTGTATATTTTGGGACGGTAGGGGGGAACAAGTGTGTGTTTGTTTTTGGCAGAATTTCGAATAGGGCACCAGTAGGTTTCTGCCATGCCCCCAGGCGCGGATCCAAGGGGGGCGAAGGGGGCGTACTCCCCCCCAAAAATCCCTAAAAAAGGTTTGAATTAGGTACTCGTATATAATTTATTTGGTTTTCAATTTTTTTTGTGATTCATAACAATTACTAACTAGAGTATTATAAAATTACGAAAAATAAAATAATATAATTTTATACATATTTTTATAGTGTAGTGACTAGTGTGTGTGTTACTACTGTTACTGTGTTAGGTATAGCTAAATTGCGTTCCATCATCGATCGCCGTCAATAACAAACGATAAACAATTTCCGAAGTATCAATACATAATTATATTATTATGGTTATTTCTTATAATAATATCATGAAAATAAAATATGATTAATAAATCAATAACATCGTGTATATGTATACGTATATTGTTATTGTATAGCTTGACCTTTATCTGTATTACCGAGTTGATTGTTATCGTCGATAACTATTTATAAATTAATATTATAATCATCGGTATGACTTGCCGTCGTCGACCATTAATATCGCCTCTGGGGAAAAAAAAACTTCAAAAACATTATAAAGATAAAAAATAATAATTATTGAAAACCGACCGTCGATCGTCAATCGTCGGCCGTCTCACATCATTTGATTTGTAAATAGTGTTATTTTTGTGCATTCGGTATTGCATTAGTGTGGATGTGTAGACTATATCGTGTGTACGCTGCGTAATAGCGTAATGTCTTGTATAATATTATACTAGACGTACTCTGTGTCTCTGTCATATAATAGAACTGTTTTTACTGGAGGATACAATTTTGGTAATTATTTTTCTGTTCAGGTAAAGTGTAAGAGAAAGGAGAAGCGATGCCCAAATTTCAATCATTTTTCTGAATATCCGTGGTTAATTGTTTCTGATTTAAAAAAGGCTTATTTTGTAAATATTGTGTTATTTTCATATCAAACAGTTTAGTAGGTTTCAATAATACAGTGCATGTTAAAAAATTAGTAAAAGAGCCCTTAACTAAGTTTTCCAAGTTGTCAGGTAAAGATGGAATTCTCGAATCTCATGCCTGTACGGACTACCATAAATTAGCATTTCAAAAATGTAAAGATTTCCTTAATGAGTATAAGAATCCTTCTCTTGACATTATAAATATAATGCAAAATAATCGTAAACAGCAAATATTGGATAATAGGGAAAGAGTCGTTCCAATTATTAAAACTATAATTTTTCATGGTAGACAAAACTTTGCATTAAGGGGACATAGAGACGACGGGGATTTGTATAAAATAAATGAATCCGATAGCCTTGTAGCAAATGATGGAAATTTTCGGGCCTTATTACGATTTCGTATGGAAAGTGGAGATACAATTTTAGAAAATCATTTAAAAATGTCGGGTAAAAATGCTACTTATATAAGTAAAACTTCTGCTAACGAACTAATTCAGTGTTGTGGTAAAGAAGTACTTGATATAATATTAAAAATAATTAAACTTGCTAAATTTTATTGTGTAATTTTTGATGGAACAACAGATGTTTCACATACATCACAACTTAGCCTATCAATAAGGTATATTTTTGAAAATATTGTAAGAGAAGATTTTGTAGGATTTGTATATTTACAAAAAATTAATTATTCACAAAGTGATGAGTTCTTAGATTCTGAATTAGATTTTAGTGAAAATTCATCAAACACAAATATAGTTGAGCCAATAATTACAGGTAAAATTCTTGGTTCTACAGTGGTTAAACAATTAAAAATTTAGGATTAGATTTATTATTTTGTGTAGGGATAGGCTGTGACGGATGTAGCGTGAATTTGTCTGTGCTGTGTGGTGCTGCAGCCGAAATTAAAACTGTAGCGAAAAATGCTTTAATTTGCCCGTGCTTAAACCATGCATTAAATAATACTCTATCGAGATCGATTAAAGTTAAAAGTGTGAGAAATTCAATTGGAACAATACAAGAAATTTTAAAAAATTTTAATGCTTCTTCAAAACGCAATTTAATCGTTTAGATATTTTCCATTATGCACATATATTATCATTTTATGTACCCAATGAATAATGATAATATTTTCAAAATATAAAGATTATATAAATATTATGCTATTTTTATTTGAACGATGAATCTAAATAATCTTTATACAACTCTACATAACTTTGTATTATAATATACTACATTTATAAATGATTTTCTGCTAAAATTAGTTAAACTTACCTAAGTATAAAAATACTAAGGATCTCTTCTCTGAAAATCGGACTTCTAAACATTTGTTATTCATTGAATACAAATTTACCATATCCATTTCACAATGACATTCCATTAATAATGCAGTCACACAAAATCATAACAGAACTTGTTGGTATTGTTTATTTTTTATAATATGTAATTTTTTAAGTGGAAAAAACAATTTCTGTATAACTGTTGTACAGAACGGCAGTAACTATTAAAATTGTAAAGTATAAATACTTATGATTTAACATTATTGCATATACCTATTCAAATTAATATTATAAACCATAACATTAGAATAGATATAGTTAATTTAAAAAATAATTTTATTTATCACACATTTTTATCTCAAAAGTATTTAAGTAGTAATGTTAAAATGAATTATTCGAAAACCTATCCGCTTCTTGTTGAGTACTATAAACATCTAAAACATCATTAGTATGCCTATTGTTCTGTGATGTGATGTGTATTTTGGTAACCGAGCTCTAGGCTTATTATTGTTAGTTCCTGGCCAGCACTGCAACAAATAAAAAAATTCTCGAAAGTATGCTCATTACATATTTAGTTAGTTGTTCCCTATTCCTAGCTTCTATAAAAATGTTGAAAAAATTTAAATTATGATAACGTCACCGATGATACTTAAAACTTAAAAGTATATAAAAAATATCTAAGTCAGGCTCCATTTGATAACTATATTCTGATATTTGTTCTCTTAACATGATATTAATGAACATTTACAATATAATATAATTCTACACTTAGTCCAACTACTAGAACACAAACAGAGAACGATAAAAATATTTTAGTAGTCAGCCCACTACTAAAAACTAAAAATTCACTGAAACACTACACTATCTTTGTCTTGAGTCTTTTTCCTTGGAGTTCAGTGTCACCACCCTTAGGCCGTTGCATAACTATTTGATACATTACACAAAAAATAAAGATAATACATTCAATATTTCAAAAAAAAAAATATATTAGATACAAATGAAACTAATGATACATTTAATTAAGTATTTGAAATGCTTAAAAAAGTTTTTAAATTTTAAATCATATATTTCTTAAACAGTTTAAAATAAATAATAAGCATAATATGTTGATGTTAGGTATACATATCAACCATAGGTATATTATATTAAAGATATCAAAGTTATCAATGAGTTTATTTATTTAATATATAGGTAATATATTTATTTTAAAATATAATTAGGGTTTGTTAGTATTTGTTTTTAAAAATAATTTTACTGAATACGCTTGATCAGAGATGCTACACTTATATTATAGATACCTAACATTTCTTTGATGTGTACAATTTTATGAACTTTTAAATTTGTTGACAACCAAACTGCTTACCACGCACTGTACGGTCTTATGTAGTGTTAAATATGATGGTTTAGTGAACGTTTTGGAACAGACATCACATTTAAGCGGCTTGTCTTCAGTATGTATTTTGATATGTTTTGTTAAACGTGAACGTGCAGAAAACGATTTTTCACAGATATCACATTTATATGGCTTTTCTCCTGTGTGTATTCTGTTATGTATCGTTAAATTTGAATTTGTAGTAAGCGTAAGTTCACAGACATCACATTTATATGGCTTTTCTCCGGTGTGTACTCTTGCATGTCGTTTTAAATATTTACTTAGAGAAAACGCTTTTTCACAGATATCACATTTAAACGGCTTTTCTCCAGTATGTACACTCTTCTTATGTGAATTTAAAGATGAAAGTGCAGTAAACTCACGTTCACAGATACCACATTTAAACTGTTTGTCTCCAGTATGTGTCTTTTTATGTTGAATTAAAGTCCATAAATGGGCGAACGTTTGTTCACATCCATTACATTTGAACGGCTGTTCTCCGGTATGTGTCCTACTATGCCTTTGTACAGAGTCAAGTGTAGTAAACGCACGTTCACAGATGCCACATTTAAACGGTTTTTCTCCAGTATGTGTTCTGTTATGTACTTTTAAATTTGAAAGTAAAGAAAACATGCGTTCACAGACATTACACTTAAACGGCTTTTCTCCAGTATGTGTCCTTTTATGTTTAATTAAATTCGATGAATGGGCGAACGTTTTTTCACATCCATCACATTTGAACGGTTTGTCTCCGGTATGTATCCTGCTATGCCTTTGTACAGATTCAAGTGCAGGAAACGTACGTTCACAGATACCACATTTATAACATTTATTTCGTGTGACGATTTTTTCTGGTGCACATAAGGTTCTAGAAAAAAAATACATATTTATTCTTCAAATAAACAACAATAAAAAATATTTAAAATTATTTATCTGAATAGGTACGCAAAACACACACGTGATCTAAAAATTTTGTAAACTAATTATAAAATAGGTACCTATTACATTAATTTAAATAAAATATTTATTATTATTATTATAGGTTAATATAAACAAGGAGAAAGTTGAATGATTGAAAAATATACCTATCTTTAACTTTGTATTTAAACACATTTTTATTTATTTATATTTTTATGTCTCCCGCACTTTCAACGACTTATAACTCCATTCAGTTTAAGTTGACCCGCTTTCGCGCATGCATACTGAGCCGCCGAAACAGTCTGACCCCCCTGGTCGGTGAATGGTGTTCCGTGATTAGGCGCTGCCGTCGCCGATCATCGTTTACGATCGGAGTCAACAGCTGCCGCCAGGCATACGACATTGTATACAGAGTATTAAAAAGAATGTCTTGCTTTTATCTTTTATGTATTTATTTTTCATAATATCTGTAGTATTATTCTTTAGTATACACATTTTTTTTAAATTTTAAAACATCGTCATATTTACATACATTTTATACAATTTTTAAAACATCGTCATAATATTTACATACACATTTTATACAATTTTAAAAACATTGTCATATATTTACTGATTATGTGATTTTAGTCAGACTCGGACTCAGAATCTGACGATGTGTCACCGGTAATTGTCAATGTCAAATTTGATGTTTCCGCTGCCAACACTTTGTCTACAATATTGTCTATTTCCCAAAATTTTTTTTCTTCTTTTATTGTATGCTGTATAAAGTTTTTCCACATTACTTGATCTACTCGTTCTATACCCTCTAATAATAATTTTTTTACATCTGGTAATTTAAAAGTACTATTATTCATTTTTACTTGATTCTTAATAGATGACCACGCGAGTTCAATGGGATTGAGCTCGCAGTGGTAAGGAGGTAGTCTCAAAATTGTTTTATTACTAGCTTTGGCGAATTCGTCTATCACATACTTGTTATGAAGTGGCTTGATTCTTTTAACAATTTCCAATAATTCTGGGATAACCATGGTATAATCAACGACCTCACCTTTATCTTCTAACCATTTTATTATTTCGGCCTTCCTTGTAGACGATGTCGGTGATTTGTCTTTCTTTACCGAGTGATACGGCGCGTTGTCCATCACTATAACACAGTTGTCTCGCAGTTGAGGTAAAATGTTTTCCATCCAATCATAAAATGTCTGACCGTTCATCTCATCATGATAATCCCGTGAATTTTTTTTCGATTCAAAACATAACAACCCACCGGGAACAAATCCATCTTCGGAACCGATGTGTAGAACAATAAGGCGTTTACCTTTGCCACTTGGAGCCGGAGCACCGGTTGTGAGCCCCTTAAGGAATGTATCACGGTGGGATTGTATTGTTGAATCGACCCATACCTTATTTGGGCATTCGCCAGCATTTACCCATGTCTCGTCCAAATAATAAATGTGACGACCCTGTTCTCGGTATTCTCGTATTGCCCGTAAATATCGTCTACGCCATACAACGATTTCGTTTTTTTCAGTTAGAGCACTATTACGACTGCGCTTACAATAACGGAAATCCAGATCTTTAATAAGTTTGAACAAATTAGTTCGCGATGTAGCCGGTAAACTTTTGTCATCAGACACTTCTTTATGTATTTTATCGATGGTTGGAATTTCAAGTCGAAACCAAATATTATGGACATGTCTACGCACTGCGTTTCTCGAAAAGTCATCGTATAAATGGAAAACATTTTCTCTTACCCTTTTGCGTTTCGGAGAAGTCACTGTACCTGTCTTCTTGTATTCATTAATTGTCCTGTGCACAGTTGACTCGCCAATTCCCATATTTTTTGAAATTATCTGTCCCATACTCCTCATGGACATGTTGGGATCTTCCTCCAAATTTGCCTTGTACATGTTTATAATCCTTAAACGTTCGGAAGAACTAATTATCTAAAAAACAAAATATTTTTATTTAAAAAAAAAAAAAATGTACGTTTAGTACATTAGTACCAATAGTTCAAAAAATAGGACTTAACATCTAATACTTAAATATATTTTACATAATACTCACTTTTCCTCGTTTATTTTTTTTTATTGCTGATGGAAATAATTTGACTGACGGGCCTGCAGTCTCTGTGTTCCCACTTTTATCCATTGTTGCAAATAAATTGTAGAATAAAATAAAAATTAGGTTTCAATAAAATGTTTAAACGAATCAGTGGAGTGTACAGGAATATACGTGTACGCGCGGAGTAGCATAAACGTTGTGTTAATATAACACACGGTGTATAGTGTCATATTCACCAGGTGGAAATGCGACATTGGACACTAGCGCTGCGAGACATGCGCGACCAAAACCAGTTTTCGTCTGACGAGTGGGTCAACTTAAACTGAATAGAGTATAGATCAGTGGGTTTAATAGTAATGGTTTAGACTCAATATTTTAATATTAAGATGACACACCCAAAAATAGGATAATTTTAAACAGTTAAAGTACAAACGATGATAGTTGAGGTACAAATGTACAATCGAAGTTACATAAATACTTAGTTAAAGTATGGTATAAACTATAAAGTAAAAATAGTATAAATAGCCGTTACATTTCATATTACACTATGATTGGTATTTTACTTATAATAATGAAATTCTCAACTTTCTAAACTATCATTTAATCGATTTACTTCTTCAATCAATTCTGGTCTTAATTGCTCAGAAAGTTTAGTTGACTTAAATAGCACAAATCAAAATAACTTAGTTAACTTGCCCTCATATTGTACTCTGTATGTTTGTAAACTGATATTCGTATAGGGTTTAAAGTTGTTTATAGAATTCATTAGAAACTTTATTAGAATATTCATTATGCGATTACACAATCGTGTTTATAGAGTCTAAGATTTTAACAAATATATTAAAATTAGCCTTTGCATTTCATACTACACTAAGATTTGTATTAAATTTATAACAATAAAATTCTTACCTTTCTAAACTATTATTACATTGATTACTTTCTTCGATTTCTTCCTGTCTTAATAACTCAGAAAGTTTAGTAGACTTCAATAGATCCCTTAAAAAGATTACAAAAACATAAGTTTATTATTTTTTCGTACTTAATGACTGTTCAGATAAGATGCAATGTAAAAATTAAATAAAACACCAATGTGTTACGTTATGTTAGATTAATAAATAATTTAGTTTTTCTCACTCTGAATTCATCCCGGAATCATTAATAGTTGAAGGCTCCATACTGAATTATGTCCTGAAAAAATGTAATGACCGTAATTTAATTTTATTAGTGTTAATATAGACCCTAGATGAGATCACAGATGAATACATTTAAGAGCCGCAGTTGTTAGTTTTTTTAAATATTTAGTAAGGAGACGTTCAGGAGCCAGAGTTTGCCCATTGAACCTGTGTAAATTTGCCTTATTTATTTAGCCAGGGCTACAGGCCTAATGAATGAGTGTATTGGTCCATATACGCCATACGGTATCAATAGATCGGTCATGATTTGTAGATTATACCTATGTTGGATTGGAGAAATTTGGTTTACATTACATCTACTATGTTTCTACGATTTGAATTGAAAAGGAAAGTTTAAGTTTATTAAGAATTGATATCGTCAGTACCCGAAATATAACTATTGTTAAATCATTGCATATAGTAAAACGTAAATATTTCACATTTGAATTGTTATATTATTATCGTTGGTAAAACATTAAGATATTGAAAGCCACTACAGGCAACCATTGTAAAATTAAATAATATTAGGTTGTATAAATAGGTTGGATATATGTAGGTTGTATTTATAGGTTGTTGAAAATGACTAAAATTTTAGGGATCTAAGAAATCTATCCTAAAAGTTGACTAGTTAATATAACATTTGATATAAGGTCATGAATTTATATAACTTTTTTTTTAACGAGTTTGACCATTTACAATTTTATTTTCCGTTGCGAGAAATAGCTCTTAAAAGTTTGGTAGTGAAAGGAAAACAAAAATGTTATATCTGTTGGAAATATTGTTGTTTTTTTTTTTCATTTGTTTTGTTTTCTTTGTTATATTCACCACTATTTCACCCAACAAAATTATTTATTGTACAAAAAAAAATTATGTATAGATTGAAATTATTCTTTTAATAATAATAAAAAAAAAAGATTAGATTCTTTAATCGATAAATTCGATAACGCCCGATCTAAGGATAATTTTTGTATACTTTGCACCTAACTAATTGACGTACCTATTACCATAATTAGCAAAATGCTTATTTCAAAATACGACTTTCTTATTGGTCTACATTTAGCTAAAGAATCTAACCTAGTTTTTAAAAAAAAATATATTTTTCAAATTAGAAACTAAGTAGAAATATTTAAAATTTAAATGTTGGTTTAGTTCACCTGTAGGTAGCATAACCTCCAATTAGTTTATTTGTCATTATTACAACACTCATTTTATCAATCTACATTCTACATAGATCACTATTAAACATTACAAAATACAAATATAACTACACTATAGCTTATATTCAATAATAATATTATAATCAATCAATTAATCATTAATGTATAAACAAAACATGTTTGATTAATATAAGGTTATATAAAATAGGTGTATTTATCATACAATTATTCAACATGACTCATGTTAGTTATACTAGGTGTAGCAGAAATAACTGATAAATTAAATATCTTTTGTTCAAATCAATATTTGAACATTTTTTTATGTATAATTTACAGGAGGATGAGGTAATATTTTTGGGATAAATTAATTTGAATTTTGAACCGTAGGTACTAACTTTTTTTCAATATTACCTTTTAAGACCAGATATTAAGGAGACATTTTCCATACAAAAAATATTTACATTTCATATGAATTTTCACAATTGTTGTCATGTGTTTAACTATAAATCAAATTTTTATTTTTACTTGGGTCGGATTGTTCTATTACATTTTGCAAACATAAACTTTACACATGTCAGACGAGCATTCAATAAGTACACGGTTTCTCATAAGTAGTTAGTGAGTTTATTCTGCAAGGAAGAAACTAAAAAATATATAAGCACAATTTTTTTTTATATTAGTTCCCACAAATTACATATTTAAATGAAAAAAACAGTTTCAGTTATTTTGTTGTTATAAATTCTAATATATTATAGATTTTAGGTAGGTTTTTGAAACTTTTACTATATTATTTTATTTTTTATACACAATGATAATTTTAAAACATTTATTTTAGGTGATTGTACTGTGCTATTGACTATTTATACCATCAATCAATTCAAACCGTTATATACAGTGCCTCTATTAACCCCAAAGTCAATAAAACTCAAGAATATCATCATATCGGTCAAACCATCTTAGAAAAAATCAAAAAACTTGATTTGGTTGATAAAAAACCAATTTATTATATGCTTCTCATGTGGAATCTCATACTATAATGATTTGTAGAGCATTTAATAGTGGGGACATGTATTTTTACATTTCCGCCTCATAAATCATCATGTTGAGAATAATGTTTTGAATTGAATTAATGAAAGGTTTATATTATTATTGTAATATATATTTATTAACTAGCAATTAACGTTAATAGATAGTTATGAATATTTTACAGGGGCTTATAATGTTAATTACTCCGGATTTACATTAAATTAAATGTAATGTTTGGTTTTAGTTTGTTTCTCAACAATTTGAGGGAACAGATGTTCTGGTTTAAATCTAGTACCAATTATAATAAGGATATTATTTGTGATTATTTTATATGAAATATTATTAAAATGCATCTTTTAATTAATTCTGACAATTTCCCATATTTGTTTTACATCATATTCTTATCTCCTATTATACAATTTTAATTTTTAAACTATTTGTTTTAATATACTTTTAGAATATATTTTTTTAAATTTACAATATGCATACATGTACATACTAAAAAATATAATAAGTATAATAAACACTGGTATCTTATAAAACTATTGCTATATTGTCCATAACACAATATTAATAACAAAATGTTTAAATTTATCTTGTGCTTCAAACTATACATAAATATGTATAAATAAACTTAATAGTTATAAAAAAAAGAAAGAGACTAACAAATAATTATACAAGAAATGATGCAATGTATAGTTTGGAGTTAACTGCAGCAAGTTATAATCATAATTTTAAATATAAACATAACCGAGCTCACAGGGCGTTATAAATATATCTAAATTAGCAAATTCAATTTTAGATAATATTTTTCAAATTAATATAAAACAAATTTTATAATAAACTACATATGGGCAACTAGATTTGAAATTACAAATCCTATGTATTATCTTATTTTATGTTCATGCCTAATATTATAAGCTACTTAAATAATTTCAAATTATATGATATAATAAAATATAATATTAATTTTTATATGATCTATGAATAGCTAAATATTTTTAATTTAAATTTATTTACAATTTGTATGTTGTATTTTAAGATCATTTTAATAGACAAATTAGCTTATAGGTGTAATAGGATATTTAACTAATCAGTTACAAAGTACAACAATTTTCCATACTAATGGAACCTTAGGTCAAACTGTATCGAATTTATCAGTTGCAGCTTCTGTATATTACAGATGAAAAAAATATAATAATTAATGCCGCGTTTACCTAACTTTTTGGCGAACGGTGCGACCCCTACATGAAAAATTTAAAATCCACAGACTTTTTAAATTTATTTAAGAAGTTTAATCTCCTTTGTGACATGTAGGTAATTATGAAAATGATATTAGGTACCAACCAACGGTACCGGCTATACACATCTTTTAACCGCCAAACTTCTCGGAACTGTATTTCGCTAATGAATCAACGAAATATAAAAATGTTGAAGCTTAAATTCATAAAAAAAAAAAAATAGTTTTTATAATACACATGGCTATGCCCAGGGTGCCGCCGATGACTATACCGCCATCTTCAATGTTGTATTTGTATTGTGCGTGGGAGTGGAAGTGTGACTGTGTTTGTGCGTGCAAGCGTACGTGTATGTGTGCGTGTGACTGTGTGCGAGAGTATGTGTTTGTGTGAGGCTCTACAGGTTTTGTTTAGGCATGATATGTGAAACATAAAACACATGGCGTGATACTAAAGAACCAAATTCTTCTGCTTGACCATATTATAGTTTTGTCATTAATTCATTTTTACTATCCCCACGCACCAACCGAAAGACCAGACAGTAAAAATTCAGATTGTAAATTGTTGTTTAAAATTGTGGCTTGATCGATGATTTTCAAAATGTCTTAAAATGTGATTTACAACGATGTAATTCAATAATATAATATCGTATCTTGCCATAAAAACAATCTATAGAGTCGTATTATAATGATAATCTTAAATTTAGTAAGTGTTATATATAATTACCTTGTAAAAATGGATACCAAAATGCGTAGTTCTGAGACGCGTAAAACACACTGACAATCAAATGCAAACTGCAGTGGTCTGCACGGAAACTACTTGCTGCTACAATATCTACCCCGCCATCCACACCACCCCGTTAACCGTCGACACCACCTCGTCCGCCTTCCCCCACTTTACACACTTGTCCGCCATCTGTCCCGACGACCGTACCTACAATATTATACAGTAGAAGAATGTTTTTGTCATCGCGAACACAATGCTGTTGGGGTAGCCGATCATAGTACGACCCGTACCACCCGTGTACGCGTGTTTGGTAAAACTATCATATGCAGCATTTTCTGTATTTTTTTTTTTTTTTAATGCCCATCTGTGATGTATCCATAAAATTAGTACAATTTTGTAAATTGGAAAGTTAATATTAAATAAAAAAAAATTTTAATATTTATTTGATTAGACATATTCAAGATTTTCAAGAAAGAATTTGGAGTGTATCGGTACGTATCGGGTCAATTTTGAGCGCTCAAGATGTTACACGTGCAATATACAAGCGACACGTACCGACCCGTATCGGACTCGGACTCCGATACGAGGTGGTACGTAACTATTTCGTATCGATACGTAACGAACTTTTCTTCTTGAAAATCTTGATTGATTCATAAAAAAATGTGCGCTTATAACTCTTATTATTGTATTAAAAATAATAAATATTAAATGTAAATGATTAGCCAAAGTTGTTTTATATGATTTGAATTATTTTTATAAAAACATTTTATATTTCGTAAGTCCAGTTGTTATAGAAAATATGCAGGTCGAAGTGAGCACATTTTTTTCAGTCTTGGGGTGCCTTACAATATTTCCCTTTAACAAAAATACCATCTATCCACCCCTGCCTAGTATGACCATAATATTATACCTAGTTCCATAAGTATAGTTCCTATTAATTATTAGTTTTACTTTTTAGTGAGTAATACACACGAGTTGACGAGTACCTACACCAGTCTACATGACACCTACGAAAAATTACCTATTACAACTTTACTGTTCAACACAAGCTAGCACGCACTACACACTAGAAGACTACACACTTGTCTTGTTCAATGTTTTTGAGGACAGTGAAATAGTGATTAGATGGATAGTGACTTATCACTTTACTTTTCATATAATAATAATATATTTGTCAATCACATTACATAATAAGGAACTCATTTTTTTTTAAACCTTATTACAATTATTATAAAAAATTCACATGATAATACATTTGTCGATCACATTACATATAATAATAATATTTGTACACTATGTCACTATACGTGGCCACATGGGTAATAGCGAGATTTGGTGCTGCCATACCTAAGAGCAAATTGCCCACGTGGAAGAAATGTTTCAAACTAGTTTTTAACGAACTGTATTGCTGCCGAAGAGAAACACATAGCTAGCAATAGTTTAAGCTCTTTAGATCCGAAGACATCGACTGGATGACGGAAACGCAAGAAGCGTATTAGATATAAGAGCGCGGAAGGTGAATGGTTGTAAGGGTTCCGGGACATTAGCGGTCGGCTTTTTACCATGCCATTTGCGGTCAATTTATTTTTATTAACCTAACTAATTAATTAGCACCTAAAAAATTTAAGGAACTGTATATAATATTATATTTTAAATATGAGTACATATTATGTTATGAAAATGTGTTTAAAAAGTTTATTATTATTATTAATACAACTAAAGGTAATCCTCGAGGGTTTGAATAGGTAGTTAACTTAATAAAATATTAAATACGTTTAAGAATTTGTATAACTCTCTTAAAAAAGAGGCTGATAATTTGGAACTTTTATATGCGAGAAGCTACTTCAATATGAAAGGTAAAAGGAGAAAAAATATATAATATATACAATTAGACGAAAGAATTAAAAAATATTAATCTATGCATATAAAATCCAAATACCACTGACTCATTGATCACTGTATCTCAAAATCTACTCAACATACGGACTTAAAATTTGGAATAGAGGTTCTTCTCATATTTTCACCATTCAATAAGAAAGGATTTTCAAAAATGTTGTTTTTTAGTGGAGTAATCATTACCAAAATTGTCATACCTTTTTTAACCTAACCTTTTTTTTAAAAACTTTTTTAGTCGCTGGCTGAAAATAAATAACAATCAAAATATCTCTGTAGTGTTGGAATTAGTATTATATATTTATACGTAGAGCAAGGACTTTCATGCACTAAAAAATCATCAAGTATGCATTTAAAAACATGCACTTAAGCATAAAAAAAATTAAAAATATGCGGTTAAATATGCCCTTAAAAAAATTAATTTTATTATTATTCACTATAAGTAAATTGATTTGAATTTGTTTTTGAATGTCGGATCAAATTCTTCTTAATCATTATCCGTTGAAAATACAGATTCACCAAACTCGATTACAAAATTACACAAACAATAAGCTTTTGTCGAATTTTTCTTTTGGCGTATTACTCACGAACGTTATATACAAATTAAACTCGCGGAACTTACACACACGTGAAAAATCGGGAGATTGTAAATTCCGCCCGAAATGAACAAGTAAACACAAGGTCTATGGTAAATTCCGCCCGGAAAAATATCCAAGTAAAAAAAGGTACATGTAAATTCCGCCCGAAAAAATATACAGGTACAAAAATAGTTCCGCCCGGAAAAATAAATATTTTTGAACTAAGCATTCCGTGACTGTACGACGCGACCGTACTTTTCACAACTCGGCGCGTGTTATAACTTATAGTATTGGGAAGTCACAAAATGTACGAACATGAACAAAAAATAAATAGTATGGAAGTGATATTTTGACTTGTATTTATTATTATAATTATTACTATTTTAACAATTTTTAACAATTTTATATGCTATACAATATACTTATAATAATATGTGCTAATTATTGATGATGATTTTATTTTTACTCGTATTTATTATTACTATAATTTTTACTATCTTACGATTTTTAATACTTTTATATATATTGTGCTAATTATTGATTATGATTTAATTTTAGTATAATATTATGATTGTTATATTTACTTTTATAATTATTACTTTTCTTACGATTATACATGATTTATGTTGTAATTATTGACTTAATATGTGAAATATATATTTATTTAAATACTCACATCTTAATTATAATGTTTAAGCTATGTTATGTCAGTAATAATATGATTAATAAGACACATTCAGAAATTTGTTTATTAACAGTAATACATTTTTTCGGGCGGAATTTACATGTATGTTTTTTTACCTGTATTTTTTTCGGGCAGAATTTACATGTACCTTATTTTACCTGTAGTTCATTCTGGACGGAATTTACATGCACCCGGCAAATCTACTAGAACTAAACTAATCCACCCACTGACTAGATAGTTACTTGATACTATAAAATTTATCTCTATCGTCTTTATAAGTTTATAACAAATTGTTGATCTTGATTCATGGAAAATATTCACCAAAGTGCTCGATTTTCGATAAATCATCAAAATATGCACTAAAAGCTTAAAATATGCTCTTTCAATCAAAATGATGCCACTTAAACCAAAAAATGTCCAAATATGCAATAATATGCACTAAAAGTCTAAAAACTTTTAGCTTTTGGTCACAAACATTGTGAAAGGTATTGTGTACTTACTCTGCATACGTTTAACTAAACCAGAAAAATTCATGCAAATGCATGAAAGTCCTTGCTCTAATTATTAATAAAATATACCACAATTTAAATTAGACTTCATATTACATAAGGTTGAAATTCGTATTCAATTTTGTTTTATTTAATTGTTTTGGTATATTAAATTTTAAGATGAATATTGTAATTATTGTAATATGTAATTAGGAAACTGTTTGTTATTTTTAATAATAACTATAGGTCACAGGCCACAGCCTTAATCGGTAGATATAGGTACAACTCCTCAGTAACAAACCAACGATGCAATTGATTATTGAGGTTTTAAAATTGGCTGGAATAACCCGCCTTTGATCAGTTTGATCTTCTATTTTTTTTGTTAATTTGTAATCATAGGTACCTAACCAGATAAAGCATTTGTTTATTTTTTGTTGACCAGCCAATCCAATGTAACTTTTACCCATCATTGTTAGAGCATAACATTATATAAATAGCCTTGGAATGTTATAGAAACATGTTTCTAAGACGTTGAAATGTTACTATATTTCATGTTTATAGAATGTTGGTATGTAAACATAGATTACAATATGATAACAGGTACACAATGTTTAGCAAACGTTAATGATTGCTGTTAACATTGTAATTTAAATCGTACAGCGCTAGAATGTTTTGAAATATTAAATGCACAGTTTCTCGAGAAACGTCTTTTGATCTGAATGCCTTGGGTCGACCTTAATGTTGTATTGTTATCTGTTACAGGTTAAAATATGGTATGCGAGACGAATACAAAATTCATCATAATTCACATATATAACACATCCATAACAGTTATTCACCCTCTCTCGAAGACAAATACAACTATACTTATGGACAGCAGACCTGTACCTATTTTTTTTTTTTTTTTCATTTACCTATAGGTATGGCCGTATGGGGTAGATTTAACCACGACACCACGATAACTTCCACGATTTTGAGTCTGAAAGTTTTTACTTTTTTATTTTTTTATTAATGTTTCCGTTTGATTTTCCATTATAATATATTCTTATTACTATTAATACTGGTGAGTGATACTAACATAATAAATTGACATTTAACTATTTAACTATTATTAACATCATGTTTCATTAATAAATAAACTATTTTTGTACTGCAAACGAAGATATTTTATTTTTGTATTTTAACAAACAAACACACACAACACGCATAACAATGTAATAGTATTTAATCAAAATATTGACTTAATAGTTAATAGTCACACACAAATCACAACTTATGTAGTATAAGTAAATTGACCGATTTTGTAACACACAAAACACAATTAAAAGAAAATTACAGTATGAAATCGGTTTAACATATTAATATTATGTAAGTAATAGAATATGAATATAATATATTATGCTGTTAACACTTAGCAGAATACATTTTTAAATGT